TACTTTTGCAGTTTAGAAAATTCTCCCGATATTTTATCCATTGTAAAATTGCCATTGATTGATTATAACGGTTATCTAAGTGTTCACAAAATATTCGAACGGTAGTATTACCGTTTGTAAAATTATTATTTTGTTGTTTATATAGATAACGCATTCTTTCAGGTACAATGCAAAACGGCGTCATTGGAGAAGAACCAAGTTGAAGCTGTAAATTAATATGTACCTGCTTCACTTTTTGCTGATATATATTAATTATTCATTCCTAAATAAACTTTGCTTTTAACGTAAAAAGTTGTTTTTAAATATAATAAAACAGTCCTTAAAATTACATGAAGATTAAATATTAACTGAGCAACATTTTATGAAAAAGGGGAAGTGTATTATTATTTATTTACATATATCTATGCACATCATATATTACAGTGAATTGTTTATTTTGCGTACATGCATATTTTCCATCCATTCTTTAAGCATTTCTTCACCAGTTTTATTTGCTCTTATATAATATTGTTTTGGTGGATTTCCTTCTTCTAGACGTACATAATAATTAGTATGTCTGTAATGTACCACTCCAAGCTTCAGTTTAGCATGACGCCGCATACCCTTTATTACTACACCTTTCGTCGCAAAAGATTCAGCTAAAAAAATAATAAGAATATGTATATCATTAAAATATTTAAGAATATACAAATACTTACCGACCCATAAATTGCTCTTAAATTCAATATTATGTTCTTGTACAGCCATATTTTGTGCTTCCAGTAGAACATCTTTTATTATAGCTGCACCTTTTTTCTTTAAAAAGCTCAATTGTTTAATAGCTTCATCCACAGTCATACCCCTTATAAAGCCAGCAATATACCACATATTTAATGGACTGTACTTTATGTTTTTCTTTGCATGACAAACATACTGTAAAAGATATAATACATAAATAATACTGTTTTGTTATAATTAGCAAAATGTGATCATTTTCATAGTAAGAAACAAACTTACACCAGGTCTCTTTTCTTCACCTGGTTTTTGTGGGGGAAAAATAACTTCATTATATTTAAGAAAGTTTCTATCCTTATCATTATTTTTGGGTATATATCCGTTAAACAATCTTTGTATGCTACATAAACAATTTATTTTATTTGTATTAAATAATTTGTTCGATATAAACCGTTGTGCGCACTGCTGTATACCCTGCATTTTCTATGAAGACGGAAAGATGTATATTAAATTCAGTACTAATGATTTGATGCAATTTTATTATAACATAAGTTTAAACTTTGAAAGATTAAGACACATATCAAACATAACCTTATAGTTAAAACATGTTACAAGTAAATATTATTCGATAAATAAGTATTACACTTACATTTACTTAGATAGGTTGCAGGTGTTTAAATATTGTGCACAAAACACTTTTTAATCAAGTACTTTATTGTATATCGCTATTTTATAATACACAAATATTTATGTCGAATGTCGTATCGACGATATATCGATCTTAAAAACGATAGATACTATTTTATTAGTGGTATTCCAATTTTACGTAAATGCATTAATATTTTATTTTTTAAATAAATTTTCACTTTATGTACATAAATAAACGATTTTCTAACATCAAAAATTTAATTTCCATTGCATAAAAATAGATTTTTTCAAATTCAGAAAACGTTAGTACAGTAAAAAGATTATACCGTATCATATTTTTATCTGCTCCGTTTTTACCAGCTGGTTTATGTTATTGTCATTAAACTTATTTTCATTTGCAGAAATTTTAATCATTCTATACAAATATTCTGATTGGTTTGTGCTAGAGTTAAATTACTTAGATTTGCGAGCGAAAGAAATAGTAACCAGTATGTCAAAGGCAGCGCCTACGGTACGTGTCGTCACTTACACGTAGTAGAATACTCTACTTTGTAGCGTGTTCATGACGCAACTGATTAAATTGCTATGGCGGAGAATTAGCGTGTGATTAAATTTATTTACAATTCTGCTCCGTCACTGCGTTCAAATAAATTTTAATTCGATTTTTAATAAAAATCATGGATAGCAATAAAGATGAGGCGGAACGGTGTATGGAACTTGCAGAACGATATCTGCGAGAAAAGAAATACGAGGAGGCTGAAAAATTTGTACGTAAAGCACAAAAACTATATCCGACGAAAAAGGCAGAAGGTATGACAAAAATCTATGTCAGTGCATGTAGAATACGATTATTGTTGATCAGCCACCTCTTATTTTACTTCAATCCGGAAATAATTTGTTGATATCATTTTGAAGAGAATCGCTGTCGTTGGACACTTGATTTTTAAGGCCAAGTTACACAGCGTTGATGAATTTTTTTTTTTTTTTATTATTTTGACGATTATTGTCCATTCTTTTATTGTAGAAGTAGAATTTTTCACCTGCACTTGCTTATTTCATTGAATTACGTATTTGTACTTTTGGTAGGAAAAGAAAATATGACTAAATAAAAAATGGATGGTTAAAATAAAAGTTGTATACATATGCCAGGTAGAGAATATTTCGATTTAATTTTATTACATTTACAGATGTATTGGCAAAAGTGACAGGGCTGTCAAAACAAAATCAAAAGTCTGAGTCTGAACCTACTGTTAGAAAACGTCAAACTGCACCTAAAGAAGCCACATGTAATCAACCATCTAGTGATTATACAAAGGAACAATTACAACATGTTAAAAGGTGCATTTGTTGAATAAAATTTGAGATGTTTTAGGATCACCTGAACTATTGAAACAAATGGACAAAATTTTAGATTTCTGTTTTATGATACTTTTATCATGATTAGACATTAGTATCATATTGTTCATGAAATAAAATGAGTATACTTACCATAAGTAAAAGAGTGTGTAGTAATATGTTTTACTATCAATATGTGTGTAAATATATTTTATTGCAGGATTAAGAAATGCAAAGATTATTATGAAATTTTGGGGGTAAACAAAGATGCAACTGACAGTGATATTAAGAAAGCATATAAAAAACTAGCACTTCAGTTGCATCCAGACAAAAATAAAGCTCCAGGTGCTGCTGAAGCTTTTAAAGGTAAATATTAATTTAAGATGTGTTTGCAGCAAATGTCTTATAATAAATTGGTGTGTAATCTTTGTTATGTACAGCTATTGGAAATGCTGTTGCTATTCTCACTGATGTGGAGAAACGAAAACAATATGACATGTATGGTCCTGAAGAGGAGAGGATGCAAACTGCTCAAGCCCGTCAAAATCAGACAGCTTACAATTATACAAGAGGATTTGAAAGTACATGCTGCTAAAATATATTTATCTTTTATGGAAATTGTATCATATTGTAAAGTTTTGTGTAGTGATGATTATAACATACTGATCAAATCAATTCTTTGCAGCTGACATCACAGCAGAAGAATTGTTTAATATGTTCTTTGGTGGAGGATTCCCACAGCCAGAATTTTATGGGGGACGTGCTAGAAGGTGGACAAGGCAACAAGATCAACAAGCTCAACATGTTCATTCTCAGGTATCAAGACATATGTTCATTTTTTCCTAAGTTTAAATTACGTATGCTTTAATAAATATTCTAATTTTTAGCAAGCAAATGGATATACCACATTCCTTCAAATGTTACCTGTACTGTTATTAATATTATTAACTATGATGAGCAGTTTCTTTATATCAGATCCTGTATATAGCTTGCATTCGAACGCGTAAGTGTATATACAATTTACGGAAAATATTTACGACAAATAAATTAGTTTTAATTAATAATCGTATTGGATGTTTGAATTCTATTATTTATTTATGTTTTACATTCTTGACTCTTATCTTCGGTATATTTACAATTTTGAAAATAACAGTTGGTTTCTATGAAAATGATTATATGCACATTTCAATTTGTGCGTAGAAAATATTCGGTACTGAGAACCACTCAAGGATTAAAGGTGCCATATTATGTCAAAGAAAACTTTCATACTGAATATCAAGGCAGTTTACGTAGGCTAGAAATTTCTGTCGAAGAAGAGTACCTGAATAATTTGAGACATGCCTGTTTTAGAGAGAAAAACTATAGTAAGTATTTCTGTGCACATCATACGGTACAGATTACTTACTGACCTTAGAAATAGTAGAAGAAGTTTAACTTCAAATAGCAAAGGAGTATGTATTTTACTCTTGAGATATATTATTTTTTTAATCTTTAGGGGAATCAATGATGTGGAAGGCAAGAAACTTTGGAGATCCAGAACTGTTTTCCAAAGCTAAAAATATTGAGACACCTTCGTGTAAGAGGGTACAAGAGATGCAAGGAGCATAGCGGCGCTATATAATTGAATAGAATTTGTTGTAGATAGGTGTATATTGTATTTACACGTGTGTAGCTACTATTGGATGAAACGAAGAATATCAAGCATAAATATGCATGCGAATATATTACGTATTTTCGCATAAAAATTTGTAAATGATATTCTTCTCGATCTATCATGAATTTTTACATAGGCCATTTAAGCTGTTTGTTCCATATTCATATTGTAAATTAATACAGAATTGATTGCAGTAGGATATACAGCGAATCTGAATATAAAATACAAGTTCATATTTAATTTATCTGAATTTAAGATATAATGTCAAATTGATTAGACTGAACGGTGCAATTTTACATTATACAAGTTTAACGATGATTAATTTACGTGTACTGTTCGACAGAATTATTTATGTTCCATTTGTGTGACGTGAGAAGAAACAGCTGAGTAGTATAATTACTGGCAAACGTTAATTTAAAAGTATTTCCAATGATTTTCTTGCCGTATTACTTATACTACTGAGTATAATAATAGAACGTTAAATTGCAAGTTGTTCGACGTTAGTACATAGCGATTTCGATGATTTTGATAAAACAATTGTTGGAACATAAAAATTGCTTATACATATTTGAAGAAAATCTAGGTGATAAAGATCTAGAAAATTCATTAAATGTTAATCTTAATTATATAAAAACGAAAGAATATAAATTATACGATATATGGTAAGGTCATTAACGTTAGGATGAAATGAACGAAGTTATTGCATGCATTTCTTTTAGACAAACGAAAAAATAGATGAAAAAGAAGAATGTAGACATTATTTCAACATTTATGAAGGCACATCCAGTTTGTAAGGCCTAAGTTGTGTTTGTGTTACTAGCGAAATTCGTGCAAACTTTGTTTCCCTTTTGCGTATAAAAAAAAAACCGGTTTCACAGTATTAAATAATGTCGAAGGCTACTATAATAGTAGAAAATTATTAATATTAAAAAGCTCTTCGAATCACATCGGTTACATTCCTTCTGTCATTACGAGAAATGCACGGTATGTTGTACGCAACAAAATGTAGTTCGTGACCCATACATATATACATATACTACATTATTATTCTATACTTATAAAATTAACGTAATTCAAGCTACGGGGGACAAAATCACACACTATATATATATATATAAAAACTTTCACTAGTGACAAATTGTAACAAGTGACCAATACACTCGCCTTGAGAAATGTTTTCTTTTTTGTGTGACGTTGATGTTTTTAAATACTGATTGTTACCTTTTTAAACCGATCCCAAGAGAACTTTTAATGCACCGAAATCGTGGATTTCGAAATGTACAATGCGAGCCAGTTTTCAACGAACTACCGCGCATATAAGATTATTTCATGTTTTGGCCAGCTGTTATACGCTTAACGGCACTTATTTATTCGTATCATTATATGTACGTTATATATGTCAAAGTATTTTAATTAGCTTGCAAATAAAGGGAAACTCCAAAAATACGACAGTCATCGTTGTTTACGCTTCTTACCATAACGTATTTGCGAACACGAATATTTTTGTATTATACAGTAACGTCGGTTTAGATCAACGAATATTTTTCGACGAAATTAGAAAAATGACGAAATTGAAATGTTTGAATTTGATCGAAACATTCGAATCGAGCGATGTCAAAGACGTTTCAAAGTCAACGTGAGGAAATGAGTTGTCCTTTTTACGTACCTGCGATATCTATACTTTCTAATCGTTTTCAAATTTAAATTGTAACGGTAGAATTTCGACTGTTTTCGATTATGTTCTCGGTTCGTACGACGTTATTTGCCACAAAAAAAAATTACACTCCTATTGACGCAGATACTGGATTGTTCGTATCGCGCCATTCTGACGCCATTACTGATGACGTAACGCGCGAAAACAATCGATTCATCACGAATTCAAATTTCGTCACACGCGGGAAATTCAAATTTCGTCCGAATTCACTGTTACGATTCGAACGTATTTAAGTTCCACGGTTAATTAAACGACGTCAACGCGACCGTGTACAATGTTTATCGGTCTATCGATTACAAGTATTATCAATTTATCGCTAACCGATAAGACGTGCAAAACGTTCGTTATCCGTGTTCCAATCTACGAATCTATGCTAAAAAAACAATGCAACGAAACTGTCAACCGTTTCCACCTTATCTACACAATAGACGTACCATTTTATCGTCGAACGAAAGAAAAAGAACGAACAAGTATGAATCATTTCTTGCATTCGTTAGATCGCTGAATTTCACAATAATCTCGAAGCCTCCTATATTCAGGTCACCAACGTCATTTGCCAAGGTTACCTACTTCACGTTTCACGACCCCGCGCGTATATAATCGTCGTAAAACTCGACGTCGATGAAATTTTTACCCCCAGATTTCCCCTCTGATAGAGAAATCCCGTTAAATCGTGGAACATCTGTCATAAAGAAGCGTTACACGAATCACGGCGGCAACCGGTAAACGGCGCGCGTACCGACGGCGATCCAACGCTCCCGGTCGGATGAAAAGCGGTTTTAAGGTGTCTCTCGAGTGGCCAGGTGAAATTCCCCGTTGAATGCCAGGTGAAATGTCAGTCGATGCACCCACGTGATTCGCGCGGTTCACCGTCGCTCTGTTCTCTCTGGCGCGATATTGAAAAAAAGCTGTTGTGCCACTCTCTAGCGGGTACTCGGCGTCGATCGAGCCGCGCAATATTTGATCGGTTTGTCGGCCAAACGCCGATACATAACTTCACACGGTTAATCGCGATCGAAGTGTTCGCATCGTCGATCAGACACGCATTTGTGCACATTTCTCTGGTTGGTGTTTTAAACGAAGTTGGATCGAAAATTTTTCGGTGGAGAAAATTTGTTTTTTGCGCTTTTTGTGCTTTCACGTTTCTTCGAATTCCTTTCTCTCTACGTATGCCATTTCGTTTTTACGTTCGTGCATACTGTTGTGTTTATACGGAAGAGTATGTTTATTTTTGAAAAAGTTTTTGGAGATTTTGGAGGAGTTAATTTTTTGAGTATAGAGAGTGGTTTATGATAAGTGAGATGTTGTATATCAGCAGAGAGTATATATCGGTGACCTTGAACGACCTTGACATGACAGGTTGCGGTATTAGGTGAAAGACAGCGGAGGTTAGAAAGGTAGGGGTGGCGTTCAGGCTTTCAGAACGTCTCCGGCCACGAAAAAGGCACGACTCACGAAACCCGATCCTTTTTATACATTTAACTGACTCGTTTTAAGTGTCTTCTAACGTAAGTACCAAATTTCAACTTTTCCAAAGAAATAAGGAAGAAAGAGTTTCGAAGTAATCGAATTGAAATTTCAATTCACTCGTTGCAAAGCTAAATTATCTTCTAACTTAATTACCAAAATTCGAACTCCTTCGAAAGATAAGAAAAAGGAATTTCGAAGTATTCGAACTCACTCGTTCTGAATTATCTCTCAACTTAAATACTAAATTTCAACTTTTCCACAAAATAAGAGAAAGAAATTTAGAAATATTTCAACTCACTCATAAATTATCTCTCAACTTAAATACTAAATTTCAACTTTTCCAAAAAATAAGAGATAAGAATTTCGAAGCGAGCCAAACTCAGATTTGAACTCACTCGTTCCAATTTATCTCCCAACTTAAGCGCCAAATTTCAACTTTCCCAAAAAATAAGGAAAGAAGAAGAATTTCGAAGCGAGCCAAACTCAGATTTGAACTCACTCGTTCCAAATTATCTCCCATCTTAAGCGCCAAATTTCAACTTTCCCAAAAAATAAGGAAAGAAGAAGAATTTCGAAGCGAGCCAAACTCAGATTTGAACTCACTCGTTCCAATTTATCTCCCAACTTAAGCGCCAAATTTCAACTTTCCCAAAAAATAAGAAAAAAAGAATCTCGAAGCGAGCCAAACTCAGATTTGAACTCACTCGTTCCAATTTATCTCCCAACTTAAGCGCCAAATTTCAACTTTCCCAAAAAATAAGGAAAGAAGAAGAATTTCGAAGCGAGCCAAATTCAAATTTTATTACACACTTTACCATCGAAACACAGTGTTTCACCGTATAAGGCAAAGAGAACACGCGTGCATTTTGAGCGTTCCACTTTCCCGGGCTGCTGCACACCGCAGCGGCGGCTTAGTAAACATTTCTCTCAGATTAAGGATGCGTGTTAAGTTTCTCGAGCAGGCGCCATCGTTCTCCACTTTCCAACCATTTTTCTCCACGTCCGTTTACCGCTCTGCCCGCAGCTCCACGATTATGGAGACCACAGACGAGTGGTTCTGCGACCGGGAGACGCTCAGGTACGACGAAGCTTGCGTGAATCTGCGCATCAATCACGAAGACTCAAACGCCTGGCTCTACCTGCTCTCCTCCGATTGCGCACTGGTGAGTCACGCAAGGACACTGCACTTTTTACGCGTTTCGTGCTTTGCATACTCTTACCTGCTCCTTCACCGTCCTCCGACGATTCTTCACCTTCGTCTAACGCGCGAGCTGGTGATTAGAATCGTGGGTAAGGACGGCGAACGTTGAAATTTCGAGATGGAGAATTTACCGGCGCTTCTTTTCTTTCTTTTTCGGGTTTTAGTTGGCAGTTTCTTGAGGGTAGGGATGAATGCGGAGTTACGTGAGCGAAATGCGTTATTTAAGGTGTAACACTTAGTTTATACAGGGTGGTGCAACTAAACGCTACTAGAATTGATATTTTTGATTAAAGTGTACTTAATTTTAATTTGTTTTTCTGTTGAACGGTGATCGACATTTTTGTGTTTAATTAGTCTCAGATTGGAAAGAAATTGTTCGCGTTTTATGTAAGACAGATTTAGAATGATTGAAATCTAAAGATTTTCAAGCACAGTTGGAAAAAGCCTGCTTGAAAAATATTGACTTTATTAATTCTTGTATTTACAAACTTTCAATTTATTTCGATTTTTCACGATACAAATATTTCAGGTATCATTTTCTTAGCATTTTTCTCTGTCAGTTCACTTTACTAACAATACATCCCAACACTTTCTTTTCGAAATATTACCTCACCTCGCGTCCCATAATTTTTACTGCGAACATTAAAAATTTTCAATCGGTACAAAAATTCCACGCACGAATTGATCTTTCCACAGTGTCCATACACAAGGACCAAGCAGTTCCTGGCGAACTTAAATTACAGCCTGATAGTGAACACCGTCAGACCCACAACCTTCAGAGTAGTGGACGCTGAGGACCCCAGCGAATTCATTTCCGCTAAAAATACCAGGTAAATCGATAAAAAAGAAATATCTGGGGTGACTCTGAACAACTTTTCCCTTTACCAAAATGTTGGTTTGAGCTTCGTTTTTGAATTATTAACGAAAAACACTGGCCAATTAGAGCGCGCGTAGAGCCCGCGCCCAGGGACGAGCGAACAGAGACTCATCCGCGCGAGACTTCTCTGTCAAAAAAATTTCACTTTGCACCGCTATTTTCATAAAGCTTACAAAATGGTTTTTCGAGCTCTACGCGCGCACTGATTGGCCAGTGTTTTTCGCTAATAATTCAAAAACGAAGCTTCAACCAACATTTTGGTAAAGGAAAAAGTTGCTCAGAGTCACTCCAGCAACCCCCCATTTCCGGGTGTTCGAGTTACGGGACACCCTGTGTACACATTTAATTCTTAAAATTTTTCACGTTCCAGTAACGTGATCTGCGAGTTGACGCCAAATCTCGGCCAATTCGGCGTGTACGATTTTTCCGTTCAAAATGGAAGCTGCGACATAAAGGTCCTTAACCCATCGACGTATCCTTTCACAGGTAAAATTCTACTACTTCGACCTATCGGGCTGAAATTTCGCACAGACGTTAGTATTACCATTGCTAACGCCTTGAAATCGAAAAAGTCCAAGAGAAAAAATCCTTATCGCCAATTTGGGGTTAAAGTCTGGGACGGGCGTCCTCGCTGATCTCCGGGCCGGTTCTAGCGGTCGATGGTTTCGATGGAGAGTAGAAAAGCTTGCCTGATAGAGATTTAATTATTCCAAGGTAGAGCGAACTCACGAAATCGCGATAGATCTGTCGATAACGTCGAATGTTTGTCAAATATACAGAGATAGGAGAGCAAATCTATAGCAGTTATCTAACTGTAAATAACACTTTCCAATTAAATTTATTAAGATCAGCGATCCTATCTGAATCTCGATCACATTATAGATAACGTTCGAATATTTTTCTCGTTCCAAAGTGTGTGTTGCATTTCAGATTGATTATTATCGAAGGTACAATTCCTTTCAGAGCTCTTCCTCATTTTCGGCGTGTTGATACTGGTTCTGTTCGGTCTGTCTGGACTGAAATCGTTGTGTCACGTGTGCAGAAAGAAGTTTATGAAGAGTCAGGTGAAAGAGGACACGGCGAAGCAACCCCTGAAGCGTCGAGTGAAAGCGATCGATACTGTTCGAGGGTAGGTGATTTTTGAAAAAATAACGCGCAATTAACAAAATATACGAATGACTGATACATTTGGCTCTGACACACGCTTCTTCTATTGACGCCTCTCGACTTTTCCAAACATACTGCGTCTTCATCCCTCGCACGCCGTACTTTATAGCCAGGCCCTTCGCGGGCCTCTCGTCGACCGCGTTCTCTCTTACGCTGGGCCACATTTTCTTGAAACCACGCTTGCTTAAAATAACGATACTGCGATAATTTTGTGTAGCGTACTGTAGGTAAGATTGAATTTTTACAGGGCAAGCACTTTGTTGATGATATTCGTGAACGACGGATCAGGTGGATATAGAATTCTCGGTCATGCGACTTGGAACGGTTTACTTTTGGGAGATCTACTGTTCCCTTGCTTCATGTGGATCATGGGAGTGTGCATCCCTATTGCGATATCCAGTCAGGTGAAACGAATGACGAAGAAGAGTGAGATATTATATGGAATCTTCAAGGTAGGTAATTAATTAGGTGGTTGATTGATTTGAAAATTGGGAGGAGGTTGGTTAATTTGCAAATTGTGAAGGAATTGATTAATTTGTAAATTGTGAAGAGGTTGGTTAATTTGTAAATTGTGAAAAGGTTGGTTAATTTGCAAATTGTGAAGAGGTTGGTTAATTCGCAAATTGTGAAGGAATTGATTAATTTGTAAATTGTGAAGAGGTTGGTTAATTTGCAAATTGGGAAAAGGTTGATTAATTTGCAAATTGGGTTCCTTTGATTAGTGATAGAGTTAAGGTAGTTAGGTAACTTTTTGGTTACTTTAGAAATGAAAGATTCTCGAAGTTAACTGGGATTTTTATCTATTAACAGAGGAGTGTTCTTCTGTTTTTAATCGGAGTGTCTTTGAATACTGTGATGACTGGTGGTCAATTAGAAACTATACGCATCTTTGGTGTTCTCCAGCGATTTGGTATAACTTACTTCATCGTAGCTCTCACGTATTTGTGCTTGATGTCGAGAAAACCGAGCAAGGTAAGTGTAGGGTTCAGTTTTATCAAAAATTGCCTTGGGATTCGTCGAAGATTAAATTAAAACATTTTGTTACTCTTTTTCTAATTCAAAAATTGAATTAACAAATTTCATTACTTTCTTTCGAGAGGTGCAAGATTGCTATGTTTCAATTTCATCAGAAATTGCATTAAAGTTCACCAAGAATTAAATGAAAAAAATTTTGTAACTTTCTTCCATCGACGTTCGCTAAATATTGAATGAAAAAAATTCGTAACTTTCTTTCACAGTCCTCTATGTTACGAGAGGTGCAAGATTTCTTCTTACTCCTTCCACAATGGTGCGTGATGCTGGCGATAGTGGCTGCTCACTGTTTCCTCACCTTCTGTCTACACGTTCCTGGATGTCCCACGTATGTACGTATAATTCGATGAATAATTTTCCTCCTTTTACAAAATCGTCAAAGCGGATTGTTGTTAGTGGATACCTTGGTCCTGGTGGTCTCCACGATGACGCCAAGTACTTCGACTGCGTGGGAGGAGCAGCGGGTTACATCGACAGAGTGATACTGAAGGAGAATCATCTGCACCATTCTGCGACTGTTTATAAATCTGGACCCTTCGATCCTGAAGGAATCTTGGGTATTTATTACATCGAATCGGAAAATTTCACGATTCTCTAATATCTCAGAGAAAGTAGTGCTTCGTTGCGCCATGTTTCAACGTCTGTTTTTGAACTTCTCTTGGACATCTTCTGAACACCTTTTGGACGTCTTTTGGACATCTCTAGGCTTTCACTCAAAGTCTTCAAGACGTTCACAAGGCGTCTGTGTGCAATTTGAGCAGCGACTCAAAGGCACGTATCTACTGTGTGTCGCAAGACTGATAAAAAGGCACGAGAAAATTTACGAATGGCAAGCAATTAGAAATAGCCTTGCTTCAAGAATAGAAGCATTGCTCCTACACTATCTCTCCACGAATTAGTCAAAACGAGGGTCTCTTCTACTAAAAGGACCTCAAAGAACGACACAATACTCACCCCAAAGCCTCCATAACAAATCAAAATTAACATTACCAGCATACTCGTCCACTATTGCCACGAAGAACTCTTCTCACGTGTTCCCTGCAGTGCACAATTTTCTCTAAAAATGCATTTACCAAGGTACTCTAACGTCCACGTTCCACGTGTTCCTTGGCCTACACGCTGGCATAATCATGATGTCCTACAAAGATTGGAAAGAACGAGTGATCAGGTGGCTTGCGTGGGCCTCGCTTTTCGGTTTCATAGGATGCGCCCTACATTTCTCCAACGTGATCCCCGTGAACAAGAATCTGTGGTACGTCTCCAAAAGTGGCGAACATTTGTTCGCGCAAATTTGCATCATATACGAATCTTTTATGCGATCGATTATTACCCAGGTCACTGTCGTTTGTGTTCGTGACGACATCTTTCTCCCTGGCCTTCCTCTCCGCCTGTTATCTGCTCGTGGACGTCGTAAAAGTATGGAACGGAGGACCTTTTCGTGTACCAGGTATTTACGCCCGACTTTCACGCGGTTGCGCAATGTAATCGCTGAACAGGTTAAGCGATTTCAGAACCGTTCGTGCGGTTAATGTCCCGGGAAAACACGGTGATAGTGGTTTATGCTAATTTAATCATTTCTGATACGGTTTCTCGATTAATAACGCTGTGGTTCTGCAAGTTTGAAGTGGCCGTTTCGAGAGGCGGTATTAGCGTAATTTTGATGGACTATCGAGAGTGAATTGTGGTAAAATGGAGAATGATTTCGGATATCGATCAATTATTTTTCTCCTTTGTTACGCGGAATTTATTTTTTTTTTTTAAATTATAATGGTGATAAATTATGATAAAATGGAGAGTGACTTCAGATATCGATCAAGCTTTTGGATTGGAAATTATTTCTCTCTTTTGTTTCGCGAAATTTACTTTTCGCAACATTAAAACGATAAAATAGAGAATAATTTCAGATATCGATTGGAAATTATTTTTCTCTTTTGTTACGCGAAATAAATTTTTTTTAACATCGAAACGACGACAAAATTATGTTAAAATGGAGAATAACTTCAGATATGGATCACACTTTGGGACAGAAAATCATTTCCCCGTTCGTCACCCGAGATTTATTTCTCTCAACGTTAAAATAATAAAATTACGATAAAATGGAGAATAATTTCAGATATCGATCACTCTCTCGGGCAGAAAATTATTTTCTCTATTGACATTTATTTTCCTTAACACTCCACTGTGTTCGTTCCTTTATTATTAGACTTTTCCCGGGAATTTCGATAACGATTACGTTAGCACGATTATATTCGTAGGTATGAACGGTTTGTTATTGTACGTCGGCCACTCTGTGTGCTACAAAAATTTCCCCTTCCATTGGGGGATCGGTAACATGGACAGCAGAGCGTTGCGTTTATGCGAGGCGATTTGGGGCACCCTGTTGTGGACCGTCATCGCCTACGTTATGCACAAGAAACGAAACTACATCACACTTTGATACTTTTTATTCTCCTCTGTGTAACCATGTATGTACATCTTGTAAACGAGCCTTTGAAAAAAATCTTTTCTACCCTTTGTTACGTTTACACCTATCCCCCGATTTACACGGTTTTCAAAATAACGGCTTTTCAGAAATATAAACTGTTAAAAATAAAAGTTTCTGTACAGCCATTTTTTAGTACCGTTAACACTGGCATTAACCCTTTGCGATCGGTGCCGCCATAGTGGCGGCATTTTAATTTTTTTCTAGAAATCGGTGTCGCCGCTACACGGTACTTTATTTACACGTTTTCACTTTTACTCGGTTTTCAAAATAACGGCTTTTCAGAAATATAAACTGCTAAAAATAAAAGTTTATGCTGAGCACATATTTGTACAGTCATTTTTTTAGTACCGTTCGCTTGTTAACGCTGGCATTAAACCAAAAAATGAACGAAATTTCCCCCTTTTTTGCAGACAAAAAGCATTCGTATTGTAACGTAAAGTTTGCTGCCGCCGCGGATCTTTCATTGGCGACCGGCTATTTTCGCCTTCATCGATCGCTCGCTCCAAACTAAACCCTGAATTTTATTTTATTTTTATTTTACATTTAAAATAATGAATTCAATTCAATCACTGACTAATGTAAGCACCACTTGAAAAAAAGAATTTAAGTCAGGATAGTGTGGTATCCCAAAAAGTATTTATTCTGTATTCCTAAGCGATTCTTAAGGATTCCGGCGTCCGTCTCGCTCGACGGCTATTTCCAGAGTGTCCTTTCCGCGTCGTATCCCACGTTGCTCCGAAAAACCGTTGGAGCCCCCTCGCCCCACGGGAATGTCTGCGAACACCGCAGATATAAAAGTGCACACTGTCACCACGTTTCGTAAGCAGTTCTAATTGTGCGCCCGTCTTGTCTACGTCTTGTCTAAACATCTTCCAAAATATACACTACCGGCCAAAAGTTCGGAATCACTGAGCATTGCAATTTACAGAAAAATTTTCCAAAAAAAAGTCAGCGACTTTGAGAATATTTTATCATTCGAAGCAATTGATATGAGATTGTTGGATTATTTCTAACAACACCCTATAAAATGTCTCCGGGTTATTTTAAACAAAGGCACTAAGACTTCCACCAGGTGCATCTAGTGTCCGCCTTCGAGTCACTCACTGCACAATGCCATACCATAATATAACAGTTTCTAGGTATAAGGGGACCCCAACTTTCTTTTGGGTGCCCAGAAACAGTCCTTCAGAAGATTCAATAGAGTAAAGACGTTTCCTCTGAAATCCTATATTACAAAGTTCAAAGACTATTTCATTCCATAACCCATTTCCAATAGAGATAAATTGATAAATGTAGAATTGAGATAAATTTCAAATCTATAAAGCAGCAGATTTAATATTGATGAAAAGTGGGAGGTGATTCCAAACTTTTGGCCGGTAGTGTAATTATTTACCTAGCTTACTCCACACGAGTTATTTATTTAATACAACCCCTCAACAGAATGTAAGTTTGGAATTATGTTTCCCCTGTACTCTTGAAAGCCTAACAACGGCTACTTCCAATCTCACCTCCGATTAGTTAAGTATCTATTCTACACACCCTTCTTAAGAACCACCAAACGAAATGAAGACACCGTCGAACTTTACAAATAATTTATTTTACACAACTTACATAAATATAGCACAATGACAGATCGAGGTAACGTGGCGTGGTATCGATACAAATACACGATCTTCTCAACCGGTTATATCTATATTGACTTCTCTGAAGATGGCAACGTGGAATCACCGCGACCAAAGCCGTCCATCTTACTTTCCACCGCGAAAAATTCGGTCGCGCGATTCGGCGCTGTGAATATCGTTTCCCTAAGGATCTTCGTCCCCTAGCAATATGCACACACACCGTTGGGAAAAAGGATCGAAAGAAGAAGAAAGAATGAGAAGAAAAAAAAAATAAAGAAGAGACAGGTGGAAAAGACGAAACCTATCCAGGCGCAACAAATACAATTTGTAGGATGGATTGATCGTAGGAAACGAGTCTCTGCGAGTCGTTGTTGTAAACGAAACAAAAAATTAAAAAAAAAAAAAAAAGAAGAGAGAGAGAGAGAAAAAAGAAAACACACTAGCAATGCCATTGTTTCTGAAGGTGGCACACCTGTCCTTGCTCAGTAATCCGTTGCATCGGGACCTGAAAGTCGAGGAACACGATATTATTAACATCCTACAATTGTTTCTCATATATATATATATATATTTTTTCATAAAAAAAGAACCAAAAAAAATAGTGCTCCTGCGAGTCAAATAATGGCGAGCATGTCAAGACTGTGTTGCGCTACGATTTTATAAAAACTAATTACTCTTTGGTGCAGAAAGACTGAATCTCGTGGAAATGCCTACTTATAGATCTATAGCGAGCCTGGAATATCGAGTCTCTCAACGTCACCGAGAGACGATCCTTCGGCATCGCTGGAGGATACTCACGAAGCGACCTTGAGAGGCTGAATAATTCTAGTTAGACTGTAAAAGAATTTCTCTTCTACTTTCGCCGGTAACCGCTGAACGAAGGCAATGAATGACGTTAATATGTGCAATTTGCTCGAAGCAGAGATTACTTCTGTGAGTAGAGCTGTTACCAATCGACCGATTATCGATTTTTACATTACAACGACAAATCTCGAGATCCGTATTTTCCTCGATTCGCCGTATCTTACAAAATGAAACGTTAATGGCGGATGCGTTTTTGCGTGCACACAAACATAAATATTCGCAATTCGTGGTTACTTTCGTGGGCAAACACACACAAGCGCACACACGTGAAACATTGAACGGTGAGGTAAACCTATTTGTGAATGAAACGCCACACTGCAACTCTTGCCGCGTTTATTTCTGTCGGGAATCGTTCGAGCCTCTCCGTGCCCTGAAAAAGCCGTCTTCGAATTTCGCGCACAAGGAAAAGTTTAGCGCAAGAACAACAATTGTACAAAGATTTATCACCGTCGATCTATCATCTAGAAAAAACAAAAAGAAAGAAAGAAGGTGGAGCATTCGAGAACGAAAAAAAAAGAGACAGAGAAGATAAAAGGAAAGAAAAAAAACGACGGAAGGAAAAAATCAACACATACGAAGCGTTATCACGTTCCAAAATGGAGGGAGCGCAAACTCGAGGCCTCGTCGTTCTACCATTTCTCACCCACTTTGTTAGTGGAAACAAACCTCAGCAAAAGAGCAAACAAAAAAGGAAAAAAAAAAAAAGAGTAATAAAACGGAACTCCGTAGTCACGGTATTTAACAAGAAAGTATCGAAATTCTATACACAGTGAAGAATGAAGAGAGAGAGAAAAAAACAAAAAAATAAGTAAAACAACAGTAAACTCAAACACGATCAGCCGCGTGTGTACGAGAGAATTACGCTCGTTCCAGAAAGAGAGAGAGAGTAGGTATACACCGTAAAAGTAACGTACGAATAAAGAAAAAAAAAAAGGAGAAGAATAAGAATAATAAGAAAAAAACCCACAGAACAATAGAACAAAAGAAGAGTAAAGAAGAAGAAAAAAAAGTAGAAAAAAAAATCAAGAAGAAAGTGCGTGTATAGATGAATATATGGAAAACGATATGTACCGATAGAAAAAAAAACCACGTAGCCTGTAGCCCCCCGGGCATTATAGTCAGCCCAGTCTTGCGAATCTAGAGAAAAGTTGCGCGAGGCTCGTCCGTGGACCGGTTGCTCGCGGCCAAACGCGGCCTCATTCTGCCCCGGGCCATCAGCAATGGTCCCTTTTTACGTTTAAAGGTAAGAAGGACGAGGGGTTGAAAGGAGAAGAGGACAAAGACGAAGACGACACAGTTGTATCTACCGGTGGTTCGCTCGTCTGCAACGTCTGCGGCACGCTTTTGGTGCTTTTAATGCGTGGACAGAGAACGTTCACCTTGTACGACCACAATGGCCTCCTGCTCTCTAGGACCTTGAACGCTAAAGACGGCACCACGTCGTGATCTACTAATGGTACAGGTGATTTGGGTGTTTTCCATGCCTGATAATACGGATCTTCCTTACAGGTGATCCTGTCCTGGCGTGTCAGAGGATGTGCTTGACGGTACGCGTCGCCATTTTGCTCCGGTACTCTCTGGTTCTCCGTGTCGTGAAGCCTCCTCCACGATTGCTCGCAGATTGGCGAGTATTCGGGAGAAGTCAGACCGCTCGAGTAGTTGGAACAGTAATTCTCGTCGTAATTGAAGGCTGTGTTTTTCAAAGGTAGACTGAGATACTCTCTTCCGGATTGAGAGTCGTTGGTCTTCTCGGTTCCTTCCGGAAGGATCGAATCGTCGTTCAGAAGTTTGAAGAGTCTGGAGTGGGTCTGTGTTCTCTGGTATTTTCTCAGGTTCTTCGAAGAAGTGCACTCAGAGTCTGTGTCCACTTCGGAGATCATTCGACTCATGTCGGAAGTGACGCCACTGTCCTCGTCGTCTGTCTCTTCGCGTGAATTTTGCACGCTTAACAGGTGCTTCGAGTCTTTAGCTTGTTTCTCTTCGAGTTCTTCCTCGGTTTTGTTACTCTTCTTTGGAATTTTTATGGTATCTTGAGATATGTTGTTTTGTTCGAGATTGTCGAGAGTCGAGAGTGTCTTTTGGAAGTTTTGCGCAGATTCTTTTTTGGGCTCCTCCGTCCAGTTACAGTCGGAGACTATCACTTCCGGTTTGAGGATATTTCTGTTGAAATCGCGCGGCTCTGAACTGGTTTCCTTGTTTTTCACGTAGCTCGAATTGTCCTCTTTCTTCGACGATTCTTTGCTAGACGAATCATTACTGGTATTTTTCACGTTTGTAGCGTTCGAACACTCTTCTTGCTTTTTACTAGATCTGTCCTCCTCCTTCTTCGAGCTCGATCTCCTTCGAATCGTGAACTCGGTCTCGACCGTTTCCTCGCAATTAATTCTATTAAACCTAGTAGGAATCTTTCTCAAAGTGAAATTCACGTGAGGAATCACCGGATCCTCGTTCTTTCCCACCTTACTAACCACTGTTTCCTCCTTTATCTTCTTCACCTTTCGTTTACTCTCCGAACTTTCTCTCTTCACGGTGAAATCCACGCTGGTTTCGGTGTTCACCAGAAATTCAGCTGAAACGTCGTTGCTCTTCTCCTGAACCTTCGCACTTCTAGTTTCTTCCTTGATATAACCCTTGTCAGGCTTGACAGTGCTGTCTCCGACGATCACAGTGGTCACATCCTCGTTATTTTCCGAAACCGAGAATTTAATCCTCAAAGGAAGACTCACGCTGACTGTCGGGGCGTCTGCGTCGTCGGGAGGATCGTCGATGGTTTCGAAAGGCGTTTGATTCCACTCTAGAATGCTTCTAGCTTCCGGAGGTCTTGGACTCTCCGAATCTGGACGCTCCACGTCCTCGTAAATCACGCTCAACTGATGAGGAAACGTGTTGTTGTCGATTTTCTCAGCCTCCTTCTCCACCTGCTCTTCGAGGTCGGACTCGCAGTCGGTGTTGTTCTTCGACGAAGACTCCGAGCCTTGTCCTTCGTTGCAGGACTCTTTACTCGAGCAAATCCTCGTAGAATTCCTTTCGCTCTCCTTCTCGAACCTCCCGTGAGGGTTCAACCCGGTAGAATAAGCCAAATAGGAGTCAGAGTCGTCGCTGTCGGACGAAGATTCCTCAGAATTGTTATCGCTGCTACTCTTCGTCGATTCGACGATCGATTCGTTGTCAGACTGAGACTCGGAGTCCGTAGAATCGCTAGAATCACTGGTGTCGATGTAAGTGTAATTAGGAACGGTAACGTTGAGTCCTCCGTTCGAACAAGCTTTCGTTTCCGACGTCTCTTCCACGTTTTCCTCGACTTGCGGTGCAACGATCTCACCAGGAATCTCTTCTTCGTCGGTGATGTTCATCGCCGTGGTACAGTCGCTGTCTTTGCTGTTGTTGCTCGCTGTTCTAGACATACTGTTCGCTCTCTCCCACTGAGGAAGACCGTTAAGATCCTCCTTCTCCGTCGACACCTGATTCTCGTGTCCACTGTCCGGAATATTCTCGGGAATATTCGTCGTTGGCTCGATTTTCGGTGGTACTACGTTACCACTGGCTGGTCCACAGTTATAATTGCTACTGTTGTTACTCTGAGGTGGAACTGGGATTACGTACGGCGGATAAACACCTGGATACGAGTTCTTATTCGGTTCGTACTGGGGGTAAGCTGTGTAATTCTGATTGTAAATCGGAAAGTACACGTAGGCTGTGTTGTCTGGATGGTACGGGTTGGTCTCGTTCGAGACACCGGGATAAGGGAGAGGGTAATAGCCCCACCAACCACTGTCAGGGGACCAAAATGGCGGCGGACAAGGGGGTAGGAAGACACCCTGCTGATTGCCCGGCACGTTATTCTCTGTTTGGCAGTGGTAATCTGCTTGACGATTTTCTTGCGTGGCTACAACAAACAGCACAATGCATTCAGACAAGAAGTTCAACTGTTCCTATTTTCGGGGGTGTTGGTGTGGTGGTGGTGGTGGTGGTGGTCTTGCGTTTCTCCCATTTTTCATCTTGCTTTCTTTTGCAATTCCTTTTTCCCCCGTTTCTTTGTACCGTTTTCTTTTGATATCTTTTCTCACGCGGTTCTTTCGGGGCGATTCCCGCGATAGACATTTACTTCTTTCCGCGAGAGATGATTTCCGCAAAGAGCTAACCGTCCGATAAGAGATTAGGTAACGAACGAAGTGTTTCTTTTTAAGGAGAAGAATATTTCAAGAATTCGACCGAGTATGTTTCGTTAGATGAGTACGAAAGTTTTTTCGCAGGAGAAAATATAAAAATATAAAATACGTATCTCGGAGAAATAAATGTCTAACGCGAACAGATATTCTCCACGACGGACAAGCGAGGTGCCACGATTGCTATGTCACGGGCAGAAAAAAGGATAAGCGGCGTAGTGTGTGTAGTCACGATTAAGAAAGAAAGAGAGAGAGTGAGAGAGAGTGAGAAAGAGAGAGAGAGTAAGAAAGAAAAAGAAAAGAGACGTGTGATCCTGTGTTCAAAGGAAACGATCGAAAATTGTTCGTGAACGCAAAACCAGCTCGTCGACGAGATAATCCTCGACGGGGGGACAGGCGGTCATTAATTTTCACGCTCGAGAAGAGAAAAAAAAATATTACAGTAAAAATAAGGTAAAACATGCTTCCTGTAATACTCCGGACGTATCGATATCTGAGGAATTCCCCCAGGTTGTCCAGAATATTCCGTAAAGTCCAGTTCACATGCAAGTGATACACTTGTGATCGTATAAACGTATATATATATACATATATATACCTCGCCATACTGTTTTTCTCTATTTATCAATTTTCAATATTTTCTCAAATACGTGGCCGTTTGTTTCTTTTTTTTTTCTTTTCTTCGTTACGGCGACAATCGGACGATTTAAGGAACAGTTTAGATCGACGATTCCATCACCTACCATGCAACTTTTACGTTTCGAGTTAACCGAACGTGTACGGAAAGGCTACTTTGATAATCTGAACAGCAAATCACAACTCTCATTCGACGACGAGAAAAACGAAAAAAAAAAAAGAAGCTAGATTGCTCGATGATAAGATCGTGTATTGAACGTTAAGGTACACAAGGGACGTATTGAAATTGGGCGTTACTGCGGTGATTCTTATGATGTGTTTCGTTGAGATGATCGATAAATTTATTAAAATGAGGGGCGGCGGAGGAGAAGGGTTCTTTTTAATCGAGCTGAGCAACACCAAGGAATTTTCGTTATTCCTGTGAACACAGGATTCGGGGATGTTCCAGCGACGACGGCAACGCAATCAGTTACTTTCTTTTTTTTTTTCAATGGAGTATCTTTTTTTTTTTCTTTTTTTTTCCAATTCATCCGTTAGATTCGTACAGACGCTTGTCACTGAACATTAATGTACAAAAAAAGAGGTCAATAGAAGCTTGTTGCGAGATTAATTCATCATGAACGAGTAGCGTGTTCCTGCATGAATTATGAACGTGTTTTACGCGACTTTATCTTCGTTTTTTTCTTTTTTCTTTTTATTACTATTTTCTATCTTACAAGAGAGAAATTAGATCGTAGGTTTTCGCGGAGTCACGTCGATGAATACTCACCGACGCTCTCTGGAGCAGTCATAGCTTGAAGTATCCTGAACGATCTCGAGGGAATCGCGCTGCCCATGTACTTCTTTGGCTCTGGAACCTGTTGTTCGCTCGGTGGTAGGTTTGCTTGCGTTTCTTCTGTGAAATTTACGAGTTTCCGTGAGAATTGTGGGTTTGACGTTGATTGGAAATTGACAGGGAAGTTGATCGACTCACCGAAAGTCTTTGAATTCCTGTTCTGCTTCTTGTTTATGGCGGACTGTGGCCGTGGAGCTGTAACACACGATTTTAATACGCGTTCGACGCTTTCTTGAAAATACTGATATGTTTTCCAGTCTTTTTTTCTGACATCTAGAAGGTATCTAGGTTTCTCTTAAAAATACTCAAATATTTTCTAATCTCTTCCTTGAACGCCTAGAAAATATCTAAGATCCTCTTAAAAGTATTCAAATATTTTCTAAACTCTTCCTTGAACGCCTAGAAAATATCTAGGGACCTCTTAAAAATATTAAAATAATTTTCAGTCTCTTTTTGTAACGTCTGGAAAATAGCTAAAATCCCCTTAAAAATATTAAAATATTCTTTAGTCTCTTCCTTGAACGTCTAGAAACTATTAAAATATTTTTCAGTCTCCTTTCCCAACATCCAGAAAATATCTATCCTGCACAAAATGCAAGAAGACACTTTCTTATCACTCGGTATGCTACGAATCAGTATTGAAACCTAATACTTACTCGTGTTCATAACGGGAGCGTCGCCAGAGTCCGTCATAGTTTGCAGGAAGCGGAAGGCACGAGACGGTATGGCTGCGCCGCGATATCTAGGATCCTCCTCGTGATGAAGCGAAGAATCGTTGTCAACTGCAAATCACCGAAAACAGATAAGAAAAAATTGCAAAATCTTCGATTAAATAAAATCTTCTTCCTCGACTACCTTGTTCCTTAAACTTATTCATCAAGATCCTGTCGTCCTCCGACAATTGCAATTTACGCATCTGTTCCGTGTCCATATCGTTCCCCGTATCCGTGTCCGTGATCTTCTGAAGAACCCTGAACGATCGTGATTGAACTGGGCCAGAATCCGACTGTTGCATCTGCACCGGTATAACACGTTGTGGAACCCTGCAATCGAACAACAAATTACCACACACTTCCAACACATCTTCTGACCCTTCGTTAACACTAGAACAACCAAACCCTTCGAAATGACGAATTTCAGATTTCGTACTTTGTACGAATTAATTATAATTATACTATACACTAATTTATTTTTCGTTAATCTTTCCAGTTTCAAAGTTCTTTATGCAGCACACTTAAATAAACCAGAAGGGAAAAGATACACTGCGTTTAACGCGTTAACGTGATAGTCACCGGTGACCGGTGGGCCTGAAATGTTTAGAATAATTAAAATAAGACGAATATCGTCATCTGAAGAAACAAATAAGAATATAATACTACGCTTAGAATAATGAAACACGTAAACCTGTCGCGGCAGTGAACGCGTTAACCCCGGTTGTTCCAGCGTTAAAGTCTCCGAAAATAGACGTACACTTTCACACTTTGATTCTCCATATTCGATCCATTATTCCTAACAACGGGTTGTTGATACACGACGTTCGAATTTCCTCCACCGACGATCTTCTTATCACCTCCCTCCATCATGATAGGTATAATGAAGGCACCCCCCGTCGATTGTTGAGGCTGCTGTTGATTCTGAACCTGATTCTGGCCAGGCGGTTGGCCCCATCGTTGTTGATGATGAGGGCTCGGTTGCTTGAACTGATGATGGCCTGATTCTGGTTTCACGTCGAACACAGACGGTCTGTCCTCGATCTACGAGATAAACGGGCATCGTAAACTACGGCACTCGGTAAGCACGTTAAGAAGATGCTACTTCCTTCGAGCAACATCGCCGGAGAGAACGTCCGGATAAGGATAACAAACAAGACACTCACGCGAATCGGTATCACGCGTTCTTGCGAATTTGTTTGAGGATTTTGCTGAGGTGTCGATGGACTAGAGAACGGACGTTGTTTCTGTTGCTGATTGAATTGCTGCGTTGGTTGTTGATATTGATGATACTGCTGCTGCTGCGGCTGAGGAATTTGCGGCCTCTGTAGAGTTTGTTGCTGCGGCAAAGATTGAGGTCTTTGCTGAGTCTGCTGCTGTTGAGGCGGTTTCTGCTGTTGAGTTTGTTGCCATTGAGGCGGCTGCTGCGTCTGCTGAATCGACGACGTGTAAACTGGCGGCGATGTCGAGCTATCCGGTGACGTCGAGCCCTGCTTATTCGCGCTCGAACGTTTCGCCCACTCGGGCAATTCTTCTGGAGGTTTGTTCTTGTTCTGGAGCCACGGTGTCGGTGCTTTCGTCAGGGTCACCTGAGTTGGTGTGCTTGGACTCTCCGGAGAGTTCGGCTGGACCGCCATCACGGGCACTTTGGTGTCTACTTTGGTCACGATTTTAGGCGATTCCGGCTGCTGCTTCTCTGGAGCTGTAATTTTACAGGATTTTTTCACTGTTTTAACGATTCTCTACGGTGATTTATTTCCCCTTCCTAATTTCTTCCTTTTCCAATTTTTCCGCACATTTCCCTTCCAACCCCTCTAATATCAATATTTTCGATCTCTCATTCAGAATTTGATCAAGATCCACGTCTTTCAATTCCCCAATCTTCATTGTAAGACGCCAAAAATTTTTCAATACAATTTTCTCAGATTTCTCTCGGTGAAAATACTCACTGCCTGGTTGAATCCTGTTGGCAGGCGGCGTAGGCGGTGTTCTGTTTCCAGGTGGCGTCTGTGGTGTCCTGTTCGCCGGCGGTTGAATCGGGATATTTGCCGGGAACACGGGAATCGCGACTTGAGGCTGCACGAACAGATTCGCCGTGGTGTTCGGCGGTGGCGTAGGTTTCGATTCGAGCGCTGACTTAGGTGGACCCTCGATACCTTCGTCGTTCGCGTTTTTCGCCACTCTGCGAGCCATTCGAGGGCTTCTGATCTGCGAGAGGTCCAATTTACCGCCCATCCCCGGCGTGTACGTGAACGGTTTCTTATCCTTGGTGAGCATCGCGTTCTGAATGGCCGCTGGCGGCTCGTACGCGTCGTTGCTCGCCATTTGTGGCCTCCTTATCGTCGGTGCCTACGATTTAACCACGTATTAATCGATAAGTTGAGACAGAAATTTTCTAGCTCTTTAAAATGACGAGTTAACGCGTCGACTGCCACGAAAAGATTTAGATGTTGCTCTCAGGGGACAGGAAGAAAATTTTCATTATTCTAAGCATAGTATTGTACTATGTCATAGCTGACTGTAGACATTATTTTCAATTAAATACTATGCATAGTGTACTACTATAGTTTTATAGTATTATACTATGCATAGTATTACAGTATAATAGAATTAATAGAATTAAATACTATGCATAGAATAATACTATACAAATATAATAATATACTATGCATATTATGCTTTAATATTACTATTTCTTTTTTTCAAAATAATGTCTAGTTGGCTATGTATAATACTATACTTATTTTTTTTTATTATTATTATTATTTTTTTTTAATTCAAAATAATGTCTAGTTAGCTACGTATAATACTATGCTTTACTATTATTTTAAAAAAATTCAAAATAATGTCTAGTTAGCTACGTATAATACTATGCTTTACTATTATTTTTAAAAAATTCAAAATAATGTCTGGTTAACTATTATATTCATTTTATTCTAATTATTCTACACATCTGAGGCTCACCATAGCCTCGTCGAGGAAGCAATCTGAATCGCAGGTGACCAACGTGGCAGTCAACGTATTAACCATGTCAGAAAGGAAAGAACGCTTCAAACGAACGAGCAATTCCCAAATACACGCGAAACAAAGAACACGCGTACACAGACAGAGAGTAAACTCTAGAATGGAGCACAAAAGAGGATCTCTGTCGACGACCTTGAGCGCCACTTAATTTTGGTCAGACTGTAATTCCTCGTAAAAAGAACTGGTGCACGCTTAAATCCAAGCTTTCCCTCGAGATTCCACGCGTTCTTTCCTTTTTCACACTCGATCCCCTAGTTCTCTCGTCGCTTCTCACTTTTCCCTGCAACTCGAAGAAATTCTTCGCGCTTTCGCGCCTCACCATGTTGAATTATCCGCGACCCACGCGATATACCGGAGAACCCTTTCACATTCGCGATCCTTCGTGAACACGAAGTGACTTGAGCGCGATCGTGTAACGCAGATAGTGTGGTTTCGTTCGTTCGAGGGAATTTTCAAAGGTATTTCCCGGCGCGGAAAGAGGGAATCTCGTCGGTACGAGAGACGAACGCGAACTGAGGGTCCTCGGCTTACCTCTACGGTGTTGATCCTCATGGCCGGCACCTGACCGGGCACTGGAGGCGGCGGTGGTGGTGGAGGAGGCGCGGGACAGAGTCCTGGAACGATTAGCTGTTTAGTGGAATGCTAACGAGGAGGACGACGGTATGCGGGCGTGAGCGCATCGTTTTCGTTGCACTTTCACACGTTCTCGAGACGGAGAGGATGGAAATGATATACATACGACCATCTTCCTTGCTTGGGTTTCGTTTGTTTGACTTTAGGTGGAAAGTTTGATGGATTTATTTATCTTTGGGATTCGAGGAGGGGAGTTGAAGTTTGTGGGTGGAATTTGGAGAGAGAATCAAGTGAAATTTCTTGATTTGAACACTCTATTCTCTCCTCCAAATTCGGTATTTGGGAGTGAAGAGCCCTATTCTCTCCTCCAAATTTAATATTTGGGAGGGAAGAGCTCTATTTTCTCCTCCAAATTCGGTATTTGGGAGTGAAGAGCTCCAGTTTCTCCAAATTTAATATTTGGGAGTGAAGAGCTCTATTCTCTCCTCCAAATTCGGTATTTGGGAGTGAAGAGCTCTATTTTCTCCAAATTTAATATTTGGGAGTGAAGAGCTCTATTCTCTCTTCCAAATTCGGTATTTGGGAGTGAAGAGCTCCAGTTTCTCCAAATTTAATATTTGGGAGTGAAGAGCTCTATTCTCTCTTCCAAATTCGGTATTTGGGAGTGAAGAGCTCCAGTTTCTCCAAATTTAATATTTGGGAGTGAAGAGCTCTATTCTCTCTTCCAAATTCGGTATTTGGGAGTGAAGAGCTCCAGTTTCTCCAAATTTAATATTTGGGAGTGAAGAGCTCTATTCTCTCTTCCAAATTCGGTATTTGGGAGTGAAGAGCTCCAGTTTCTCCAAATTTAATATTTGGGAGTGAAGAGCTCTATTCTCTCTTCCAAATTCGGTATTTGGGAGTGAAGAGCTCCAGTTTCTCCAAATTTAATATTTGGGAGTGAAGAGCTCTATTCTCTCTTCCAAATTCGGTATTTGGGAGTGAAGAGCTCCAGTTTCTCCAAATTTAATATTTGGGAGTGAAGAGCTCTATTCTCTCTTCCAAATTCGGTATTTGGGAGTGAAGAGCTCCAGTTTCTCCAAATTTAATATTTGGGAGTGAAGAGCTCTATTCTCTCTTCCAAATTCGGTATTTGGGAGTGAAGAGCTCCAGTTTCTCCAAATTTAATATTTGGGAGTGAAGAGCTCTATTCTCTCTTCCAAATTCGGTATTTGGGAGTGAAGAGCTCCAGTTTCTCCAAATTTAATATTTGGGAGTGAAGAGCTCTATTCTCTCCTCCAAATTCGGTATTTGGAAGTGAAGAGCTCTATTGTCCCCTCCAAATTCGGTATTTGGGAGTGAAGAGCTCTATTTTCTCCTCCAAATTCGGTATTTGGGAGTGAAGAGCTCCAGTTTCTCCAAATTTAATATTTGGGAGTGAAGAGCTCTATTCTCTCCTCCAAATTCGGTATTTGGGAGTGAAGAGCCCTATTCTCTCCTCCAAATTTAATATTTGGGAGGGAAGAGCTCTATTTTCTCCTCCAAATTCGGTATTTGGGAGTGAAGAGCTCTATTTTCCCCTCCAAATTCGGTATTTGGGAATGAAGAGCTCTATTCTCTCCTGAAAATTTAATATTTGGCAATGAAGAGCTCTATTTTCTCCTCCAAATTCGGTATTTGGGAGTGAACAGCTCCAGTTCCTCCAAATTCGGTATTTTCCCCTCCAACTTCGGTATTTGGAAGTGAGAAGCTCTATTTTCTCCTCCAAATTCGGTATTTGGGAGTGAACAGCTCCAGTTCCTCCAAATTCGGTCTTTCTGACCAAAATTCAGTGAAAAGAAATATCAAAATTAAAAGAGAAAATAGAATAATCCTCTAAAAGACGTCCATATCGCTAACTTTCGACTAAAACACCTCAAAATTATCATCGAATTTGCAAATGGGAACGAGTGACACCTTTTTCCCCTCGTTTCTGTATACACGCATTTTACGCGAGGTTTCACCACGGAGAACGTGTGAATAGTAAAATCGTAAAAGGCGACTTTCGGTAGAGGTGGCGAATGGTAAATTTGGTTGGTTGTCTCTTTTGTTGAACTTTGGGTCTCGTGAAAGTGGCACAGGCCCGTAGATGCGTGGAAAAGATGAGAGAGATGTTTCGTGTACGTTCGAATGTTCCAAATCTTCACAATTATTTTACAATTTCACGGTATTCCCGAGTGGTGTAAAACGAATATTTCTTCGTGGTATTAAAAAAAATACTGGGAACGTAAAATTTGTCGAGACAGAATTTCTAGTTGCAACGATATTACGTGACAGGGGTTATTATTTGCATACGATGCATATCTTGGTTGCAACGTTTCACGGCCAAAGTGGTTCGCGAATAATTGCTCGTGTTCGTGTGTGGATATACGTACCTGTTACTAGACCGTCCGAATTCCTGAAAAGAGAAACAGTTCGTCAGTTGAGAGAACAGTGTCGGAGAAATTGTTAACGCTTGGCAATCAAATTGAGTCATTTCACGAAATAGAAAGCAACAACGTATCGTAAATTTTATACAATTGCAAAGAGTTAACAAATTTAATATTTATCTTAACACCGGAATAACCAAATTCGTCAAAATGACGGATTTCAAATTTTCTACCTTAAATTACAGAAATTCTTAAGAAACTTCACCCTTCGTGGACAACCGTAGATATCATTTTTGTACTGTACCAGGCCTCAAAGGAATCCGAAAAAATTCTGTCATACTCGTCAAACATTTCAAACCTTTTTTTTCGATAAAAAATAAAAATTCTCTTCGAAGGAGGCAAGAGTGAAATTTGTCAACTGAGGATTAAATAAGAAATTAATTACATATGCCAATTTATTTTATATTAATCGTTCTAATTTTTGTACACAGTATCTCTGAATGTACTGTCTTCAACTGTGGTCGCTCCAATATTAAAAAGTCCGAATAAATAGCATCGAGTGTACTGAAATAAAAATATCGAATTTCAAATAATTCTTGATAAACCCGAGTAATTCTTGAATCAATCCTCAATGATTCACGTTCGAAGTCGATAAATGTCGCAATCATTTCAAGAATCGTAGCGATTTGTTCAAGAGCCACTCGATAAAGAGCGGCACCTCAATTGCGTCACAATTACATCGTCGATCAGATCTATCATACCTCGACGACCGAAGAGATTTGTTACGGTAACGAACAGACAGATCTTGACGAAAATTCACAGCTGCGTAATCGAACGTTGAGTCACATCGAGCGTTATTGGTATTTTGGTGCACCTACGTCCACCGGATAATGTTCACGGACACGCGCTGTCAAAACGGCTCGTTTCGATCACTTTACGATTGCACTCGGTGGTCGTGTTCCAATTACACCTACCGAGGACGTGATTCGTTTCGTGTTCGAAAGTTTGGAATGTCGAGGAAATACAGGGGCGAGGGGAAACGAGGAGTTTTAATTGAGAGAAGGGAGGTTTCTTTGGTTTTTGGATGATGTCGATGGAGAGGGGGTGTTGAGAGGGATCTTAAGAGCAGTTTGGGCGCGATTTAATTACTTCTTTGGGGGACTTGAGTTTTTTGGATTTGAAACATTGAAAGATCGATGAAACACAGAATTGAGGGGGAAAGAGAGTTTTTTTTATTGAGAGAAGAAAGATTCTTCGCGTTGTATCTTTTAAGTTTGAGCGATATTCGCGGATACGCGATGTAAAAGTGGCTGGTTTCGATCACTTTACGATGGAAACATCGAAATTTCACCGAAACACAGAAATGAAGAGAAGAAAAAATTTTTTATTAAGAGAAGAAAGATTCTTCGCGTTGTGTCCTTTAATTCTGGATAATATTCACGGATATGCGCTATAAAAGTGGCTCATTTCGATCACTATACGATGGAAACATCGAAATTTCACCGAAACACAGAAATGAAGAGAAGAGAAAATTTTTTATTAAGAGAAGAAAGATTCTTCGCGTTGTATCCTTTAATTCTGGATAATATTTACGAATACGCGCTGTAAAAGTGGCTGGTTTCGATCACTATACGAGGGAAACATCGAAATTTCACCGAAACACAGAAATGAAGAGAAGAGAAGAAAGATTCTTCGCGTTGTATCCTTTAATTCTGGATCATATTCACGGATATGCGCTATAAAAGTGGCTCATTTCGATCACTATACGATGGAAACATCGAAATTTCACCCAAACACAGAAATGAAGAAAAGAGAAGAAAGATTCTTCGCGTTGTATCCTTTAATTCTGGATAATATTAACGAATATGCGCTGTAAAAATGGCTGGTTTCGATCACTATACGATGGAAACATCGAAATTTCACCGAAACACAGAAATGAAGAGAAGAGAAAATTTTTGTATTAAAAGAAGAAACACTATTCGCGTTGTATCCTTCAATTCTGAATAATATTCACATTTAGATCACTTTACAATTGCACTCGGTTCCCCTCAAAAGCACAATTCGTTTGAAATAATATTTGAAACATCGAAATATCAACTAAACACAGAAATGAAGAGAAAAGAGAATTTTTAATTAAAAGAAGAAACACCATTTAATTGATCCAATATTCACTAACGACATATTTCGATCATTTATCTAATTCATTTCACATTTGAAGCCTCCAACGTATCGATGAAACACAGAATTGCAAAGAAAAGAGAATATTCTTCTTGGAAGAAACAAGCACAATTCGCGATAGATTTGTAGGAACCACTTGATGGAATAGGTTGAATCAAAGTACCTTTCTATATTCACACAGAGTAGATACTCGAGTCTAGGATTTATTTACTTTAGAAGAGATTGCCAGCTACCGTATTCGCGATCAGTTCTGGTCGAACTGCTTTTGGAATTATCAAGGAACGAACGACGAGTGGTAACCTACATACATTGTCACGACCACGAGTTATCTCTCGATGACTCGACCATGTTTCATTACCTAATCCTTTTAAGGAGGTTCTCCGCTCGGCGGAAGGTTGCCTCGCTTAATTACCACACGGGCTCGTGGGACCGTTCTTTTTAATTTCGCCTGCGGCTTATCGAACGTAGTTAATGAGCCAAACGTTCTTCAAATAAAAGAAATTTCTTACTCGGAGTGTATACAAAGGAGTACTATATTTAAATTTTTTATCTGTAGCTTTGTGGAGTTGGTAAGTTGGTGATTTGAAATTTGTGAAAACTTTGATGTGAAATGGTGATTTAAAATTGCCACTAAATTTTATTCAAATTTGAAATTATTCCGCAGTGTACGCAAAGGAATACTATATCTTTGTGGAATTGGCAAATTAGTAATTTACAATAAAATAAATTTGAAATTTGTGAGAAATTTGAAGTGAAATGGTAATTTAAAATTGGCCCAAAATTTTATTCAAATTTGAAATTATTCCTCAGAGTATGCAAAGAAATACTATATCTTTGTGGAATTGGTAAATTAGTAATTTAAAGTGAATTGACTTTATAATTTGTGAGAAATTTGAAGTGAAATGGTAATTTAAAATTGGCCCAAAATTTTATTCAAATTTGAAATTATTCCTCAGAGTATGCAAAGAAATACTATATCTTTGTGGAATTGGTAAATTAGTAATTTAAAGTGAATTGACTTTATAATTTGTGAGAAATTTGAAGTGAAATGGTAATTTAAAATTGGCCCAAAATTTTATTCAAACACGAAATTATTTCTCAGAGTATACAAAGCAATACTGTATCCAAATTTTCATCTGTATCTTCGTGGAACTAGAAAATTGGTAATTTGAAATAAAGTAAATTTAAAATTTGTGAAAAATTTGAAGTGAACTGATAATTTAAAATTGGCCCAAAATTTTATTCCTCAAAGTATACAAAGAGGTACTCCACCTAACCTTTCACGCGTATCATTATAAAATTGATAAACTGTTGTGTTACAATTTATCAGTTGTCATTTTTATTATTCTCTTGCGATATCATTCAGCTTGAAGTTCAAGATGTACCGACAAGTTCGTCTAAGAATCGATCACAGAATTAAGATTAGAGAGCACACGTTTCCAATGGCGTGCAACATGTTCGTGACACGAAAAGTGGCCAGCAGTCATTTCACTGACGAAATTGCGCGTAGCTTATGATGATCTGCTATTTAAAGAGGTGATATTTTTACAGCACAGTTTCAAGGAGCGGTCAACTGCTATCTGCTCAATATTGATAGTCCTCTATTTTTGCTGTTCGCGCTGTCAGTGTACTCGATGATCGTCTATATTGTTCATCTCGCTCCAACAGGGTGACTGAACCTTTTAAAACGTTCGCTCTGACAGTTGTGAAAGCTACGTCAAGTAAGAGATTGATCGTGTCTTTTATCTGTTCCAGGAAGACAGTTGGAAGATTATCCACTTTTTTCTCCTGATAACATTTAGAGCTCGATATAGATAACTTCTCGGGAAAATACGATTAATCGCAAATCGATATGTATCTGGACACCAAGTATGCTACAATTTCACAGACTCTCTAGAAATTGTGAAGAATTATTGAAGCAAGCTTGTATTCTAATCTCCATTTTTGACAAAATTAATTGTAATTTTATCGTAGAAATGAGAAATCAAGGATTGCCTTAAGGTGCAAATATTTGAAGAATTTAAGAGGAATATTAAAAATATATTGGGCTTTAATTTTACACCAAATGTCTACAATTTCATAGACTTTAGAAATTATGAAGAATTCTTCAGACAAACTCATCATTCTAATCTCCATTTTTTACAAAATTAATCCTTAGTTTTGTCGTAAAAATGAGAAATCAAAGGTCGCCTTAAGTTGCAAATATTTGAAGAATTTCAGATAATATTAAAAATATATTGTGCTTTGATTTTACAACAAATACCTCCAATTTCCAATTTTAATCTCCATTTTAATCTTTCCTAACCTCCATTTTTTACAAAATTAATTCTTAGTTTTGTCGTAGAAATGAGAAATCAAAGGTCGCCTTAAGTTGCAAATATTTGAAGAATTTAAGATAATATTAAAAATATATTGTGCTTTGATTTTACAACAAATATCTCCAATTTCCAATTTTAATCTCCATTTTAATCTTTCCTAACCTCCATTTTTTAAAAAGTTATTTCTAACTTTATCGTAGAAATGAGAAATCAGGGACTGCCTCAAATTGCAAATATTTAAAAAACTCAAGAATAATATTGAAAATTTTATTATACTCTAAGTTTACACTAAATTTACACTAATTTAAACATCTACAATTCCATCGAGTCTACTATTGCAAACTACTCTCCAAATCAGTATCAACTTCCGAGCACCGTCATCCCCGCCGCCATTTTTCACAAAATCAATTCCTCCTTTCACGACAGAATTTCAGAAAAAAGTTTCAGGAATTCAAATATAATATTAAAAATATATCAAACTCCAATTTCACACCAAATATCTTCCCACTCGAATATCTACAATTTCATCGACT